TGTGTGTGTGTATATGTATGTATGTATATATATATATATATATTATATATAATTTACCAATTTTTGTATAAATACCGCTTTTAGTGGGTTAGGTCAGCTAAAGGCATGTTTTAGAGTCTCTATACTCCAGTTAACTCGATTACTAAATTACTTGGCGATTATTTAAATAATTGATTAATTCAGTTAATTGTTTTAGCCCTAGATCCATGGTTTATTGTTAAAGAAGCATTCTACTGTTCTGGTAGGGATGGTGTTATGTACACAGAGGTTTATGTTGTCAGTCACACATTCATTGTTTGCATTCATGTGCTCTCCATGGATAGATATATATTCAAAACCTAAACGGGCTATATAGCCTACCTATCCCATTAGCTTGACTGTTGAGCAAATGTAGGCTGCACTGCATGATCCAGCTAAAGTGTTTTTGATCAATTGTTAAGGTTTGATATCATGGGTCTAAAGTCCACACTGAATTCATCCTTTTTGTGGGTTAATTTTTAAGCCATCTATTTTTGGACGAAAGTGATTCCAATCCTGCTACAAATTTCTAAAAAACCCAAACTCAAGAATGGCTTGGATCAGAACCAGGATTAAATCTAATCCATAGGTGGCTTTTTTTCCTTTTTTGAAAAGGAGAGGGGGAAAAAAGGTTTTGATTCAATCTGTCATCTAAAATCTGAGCAGATTACTTTTGGAAAACCAGGCCTTGGTGGATAAAAGTTGTTGTTGCTTTGGAAAAAAAAAAAAAAAATTGATTTCCCTTAACTAAACCATGAAAGCAAAGATAATGGGGTGTGATGGGGCTCGGTAGATTGAACAATTTAGAATTATTCTTGCAAAATTAAACAATTTTCACAAAATTTGCATACGATCTATTTTTAAATTGTCATAGGTAATCGTATAAACAAAGTCACATTACAGGCATCTAAATTCTGAATTTTAGCAATACAAAAAAAAGCATTCTATAATCCAGAAACTGGTATGGCTGCACTGTTTTTTCCAGAAATTCCCTGTCTTTCTGTTCAGTGCAAAACAGCCCAGCTGTCATTTGGTTTAATCAGCACAAAATATTGTCCGTCTACCTCAAGTCTTCTTTGGCAGCTCTGTCAGTTTCATCCCTGACTTACATCTGTCTGTTTCTTTGACTTGTCTTTCTGTTCTTAGTTGTCAATATTCAGGGAATTATCCCCAGCTATTGGCTAAGAATAGCCTTCCTTCTGCAGCTGAGCAGACTACAGTTCTCCACACTGCTACTAGGGATCAGATGAGTCTGCAGTATCTTGCAGCATAAGGAAAATAAAAGGAGGTGGGGAAACAACAAGATCCCTGCAGACTGTCAATATGCGTGCCCTAGAAACCAGATAATGTATCAGGCAAAACTCAGTGAGCTTGAAAATTATATTTGGCAGTCCCTGATGTACAAAGTTTTATAATCAAAATGACATAAGTCAAATGAATAATGAGCTTAGCAAAAGATTGCAACTTGTAAACAAATTTTAAACCTCACAGTTTTGTGCTTTTAATTCTTTCTCATTAGGTTCCCCTTTAGACTTTTACCACACACCTCCTACCTCGCCCTCTGAGGAAGAGCTGGCTGCCATGGCCTTGCCCTCTGCAGCTTCGACTGGTAAGATGCAAACCTCATCACCCATTGCTAGTGCCCCACCCTCCTCTCCCTCCCCAGCAGCAGAATGGAAACCAAAGCTTTCGGCTCCCTCAGAGTGGGCTGTGATCAGCGTGGAGAGCATCAATTCCTTGGGGACAAACTCGAGCGATGCAGCAACTGGACAGGAGAAGGTCGTTAGCAGTTTGGATGTTCAGACTCCAATACCTTTGCCCCAAAGATCACCTTCAGAGCAGAGCTGGCAGGAAAGAGACAGTGGGATGGAGTCGCAGGCAGCAGCAGAGCGAACCGGAGAGGAGATGACCCTGGTTTTACTCAGTCTGATGGAGCACTATAGAGCCTCAATGGGCCTAACCCCCAATACTGATATTACTGCAGGAGCCGTAGGTAAGTCCTGGTTTACCTGTTTTTTCTATGTGATGCCTAATAGACTAGATATAAACTCATTACTATATGGAATGACGATCTCTAAGCTTCTTGTGGCAAAAACAACAATAGGAATATGTTCACAATGTAGATGACAGCTGCAAAAAAGTGTTATTACAGTAGAATGGTTTCTTAAAATTAGAAAAATATGATAAAAGAAGAAAATGTTTTTAATTGAAAAGGCATGCAAGCAAATATATTATGCAGCATGTCAAGACTATTTAAATGGTTGTCTATTTGTGACTGTGACCTTTACAGATGAACATTAACGAATTATATCCCTGGTTTCCCCTGATGAGCCTCTGTAAAACTTGTAATCACCAGTTTTTGGATTGTGTACTCTAATTTTAGTCAAGTCTTCTGTGCAGATGTATTAAAGTGATAAACCCAGCTACTGTTTTCAGGTAAATGAAGGTAATTAATGGATGAAGAATACATTTAAGAAATCTGTGGAGTTTCTCAGTCATTCTGGTCATGGCTAAGCTTGCAAAGTTCAGTTTAGGCAACTGGACTTGACATTTAAGAAATAGTAGCTTTCCAATATCCTAACTAAACCAAGAAATATTTTTAGGCAACAGGGAAAGATCAATTCAGGACAGCAACAGCAGGTTCCTAACCTGCAAAAGCTGCAAAGGATCAAAGTCTGACACTTGGAGCACACAAAATAAGACATTACAAAAAACAAATCTTTTTAGCTTTGCAAGCCTGAAATCCCGTTTTTTTTCCTGGACTACTTGTGATAGCTAAATAAAACACTAACATAAGTAATATCTATAATATATATAATACTTATATTATATAATATAAGTAAAGTCTTTTCCTCACAATTGGAGCATATTACCTGGGTTGGTACTAAACATAAAAAAAGAAAACCATTTAGAGAAACTATGCTTACATAGATCACTAAGCCACAACTGAATCTGTCTTCCCCCACCTTGTTTCTTTCATCCTTAGAGATGCTGAGGCGCTTGATAACTGAAAAGGAAGATCTGGTTGAGGAGCTGGACATACTAAAGGAAACACTCAGGGTAAGTGTTGCTGGCCCCATTATATACCATATTTTCTCTGTCACTAATCTGCCAGTTCCTGCAGCTGAAAATCCTCCCCACAGTATAATGCTGCCACCACTATGCTTCACTGTAGGTATTGTATGGCCTAGTGATGAACGGTGCCTTGTTTCCTCCCAACATGACACCTTGGCGTTCACTCCAAAGAGTTGAATCTTCATTTCGTTAGAACATTTTTTTTTCTTCCAAATCTTTTAGGGTACAGTAAGGGTGGTTTCAAACTCCTCCCATTTAAAAATTATGAAGTTCCCATCACTTTTTTGTTGTTGAGTAGAATGCTGGTAAAGATTTTCAGTCATCCAGGTCATAGTCATTCCAAGAAAGTTAAAAAAAAAACCACTGCACTTTGTTTTCCAAGTTTGAAGACGTTTCACTTCCCATCAAGAAAGCTTTTTCAAATCAAAATGTCTTGAATAATAACAAAACTTGCTATGGTTTAAATTGCTATTTTATTTCACAACCTTAAATGGAAAAGAAATGCTTGTTTGCAGTTCTCAAACACACTTTTGTTCTCAAAGATAATGTATAATGAAACAAAAAATGTTGAATGCTAGCATTTTAGGGCATTTATTATTTTGTAACACAACTGATATTTCAAGAAATCTGTCTTTTTTTTTTTTTGCCACAAAAGTATAGGAATACATGAAGGGCTCGAACATAAAAAAAAATGCTTCAGAAACAATTATAATACAGCAAGAGCTGTGCACCTTTTTCTTTTCTTCACAAAACTGTTTATTTTCATCCCAGACAGAAAGGTTGGAGTGGCAACAGTTCCAGTGGGACCTGCACACCGCGGTGTCTGTTGCCGACAGGCTGCGTCTGGAGTCGGATCATGCTCTGGGTTTGCTCCAAGAAAACCACAGAGCACTAGAGGAGCAGCTGGCTCAGGCTCTCAGCAGGCAACAGGAGACAGAACAAGCACTGGAGAGTCTGAGAGCAGAGCACAAAGATGTTTGCTGCAAACTAAATGAAGTCCTTGTGCAGCGACAACAGGAGCAATCCGAGCTCGATGTTCTCAGGAATGTTTGCAGGCTGAAAGATGAATTGACAAACAAAGAGGCTAATAAACTTAAAAAGAAAACTGAAGCTGAAGAAGAAGAAGAAGTGAAAGATGGTGGATATGATGGCAGTGAAACGTATGATCCTGAGAAAATGGAAGGATCCGAAAATACTGAGCTGACTGGAAAGGGAGTGGCTGAGGGATACATTCGTAGTTTGGCTGCACTGGAGAAAAAGAAAGAAGGACGTGGACAAAGAGATCCAAGGAGAATAGTAATGCTGTCGGAAAGGTCCTGGTGAGTCAACATGATGGTAAACCTTATGAGTATCTTTTCACAGCTATATCAATTTATTATAATATGACTTTTATATTTTAGGAGCCTGTCTGGTCTTCCATTTCACAGTGATTCTTCTAGTCAGAATAAGACTTCAAAAAACATGAGCACAACATTGCCTTTGTGCAAGGTATACAACAAGACTTATTCATAATGATTATATTGACTTTTTAAAATTATTTTTTTTTTATTTGTGCTCGATAAATTGATTCTCTTACAATCTTTTCAGAAAGAAGAACCAACAAAAGGAAGAACTGGAAGGATTTTCCAGAGGCAGGATAGCTGGTCTAACTTTTATACAGGTCTGAATAAACATACAGAAGCAATCACATAGATGAGAGGATGGAAATTAGAGATGAGTTTGTTTTTCTATGTTTATGAACTATTTGAATTTTGTTTCTGTTTCTGGGCTTTTATATTTGACTTTGCCAGGGATTAAGCAATAAGCCTTTCAGTAAACTCTCACAGATCAACTTTTACTCACCTTGACACTTTAAATCCATTTAACTACTCTGCATATTATAGTTGAAAACTGCCTTGCATTGGGCTACATAATTAACTGTTTTACTTAATGGTTTTATAGTGGAAGAATGGCTCTTGAGTGACTTGCACTTGTGACTGCAGAGATGGTACTAGAATATGTATATTTGGAACACAAGGACACAAAAAAACCCTTCCTACCAGAGAGAAATTTCTGTTCTACAGAAAATAATGATCTCAAGACTCTCCTCAGCTGTGATGAGAAGGGCTGCATATAAAATTTATATATTAATATATTATATATAATATAAATATTAATTATATATATATTTTTTTAGACTCATAATTTTCTGATTATCTTTTTGTTTCAAAGGGAACCAAGAGGAGGATCAAACCTCAGATTCTGTAAAGTAAGCTGCTGTTTTATTGCTTTGGTTGGTGTTGAAATATTTGTGTGAAAGGAAGGTCATTAAATGTCACCTATATCTCTTAAAGAACAGTATGGGTCGAGGTTTATACAGTGTTGCTAAATCAGAATAGGAACAAATTAATTAATTTTCAAACATTTACTTAGAATTTCTATGCACAATTTTATAATAAATCAGGCTAAAAAATGTTGTTTTTTACATAAAAATTATTATTGCCATGTTATGGTCAGCCACAACTAAAGAAAGCTTGCCAGTTGTCCAGAAGACATTGAAAACCTTAAAAAAGAGGGTAGTTCAAAAGAATACTGTGTGTAAATCTAGCCATAAAGTAGGAATACACTTGTTTTAATGGAAAGTGAGGCTGTACTTACAAAAAAAAACTTCAGTATTAATCAACATTGTAAAATCAATGGCTTTCATTTGCCAACTTTTTTTCCCCATTCTAACCATGCCCTGACTTCTCTCTATAAACTGTATAATCTCTTATTCAGATCTTTTATAACTTAAAATTATAGTCTACAAAATATTGCATATAAGTGGCCCTTTGTCAGTGATTACCATGATATTGCAATAAACATCAGAATTGAATGTATTGTGCACAAAGGGTTAAAACATTTGACAGTTTAAAGGTGGAGTTTACAAAAGGTGTAAGTAAAGGGAATAACTGCAACCTTGAAATGATGTGGAACAAAAACCTTATTCTGGGAAATGGGCTTCAAATGTCTGTCTCTACTATTAAGCTGCCCCTAAACCAGGGATCATAGAAGCACTTGGGCTAAAGACAAAAAGCAATGCACTTCTCCATAGTGGTGCAAAATCCACTTTCCAGATGAGGATAAAATTAGCATTTTTATTTCAAAAAGTGTCAGACTTAAGAGGAAGGCCAAGTACAGAAGACAGAGGTTTCTATATGGTTGTGAAATGTAGTTAGATTTGCAGGAATTGTGCCACCTGCTGCTGTTCTTCTACTGTTAATTCAAGTTTAGAGTCACTGTATTAATTAACCGTAGATTTTTAAAATACTTAATGCTTCTCTTTGCTGACAAACTTTCCAGAGATATTAATTTAATTTCTCAACAGAACGTAGTAGCTGCCCACACTGCTCAGGGCACCAACACACAGTTAATGACCATGACAACACTAGATTGGCAGCAAATGATACCTGATCAAAACTCTGTACAGAATGAATTAAGAGGAAGAAGCTAGACATGAGATGGTCTGAGCCAGACTGACTCGAGGCTGATGATTATCTGGGCTTTCTCAGCACTTTAACAGTTCCAGGGGTTGATTACTGTAGCTTCATGTTGCGTTGATGCTATTAATTATGCCAAAAGGGGGATAGAGTTTAAAGTCTTATGTAAAAAATCCTTTTCACTGATATTCACATTTATTGCAGAAATTCCTCTGAATTTTTCTGTCAAAAGACTTTAAGTAAATGTTGTCAACATTATTGCTTGACTTTAGAGAAAACTGGCATTAAAGCACTTTATATCTGTCTTGAACAGACCTCAGGATGGTTTCAGTGCTTTGCTGAGGCGCCATGGTGGCTCCAGAAGGAACTCTCTGCTGCGGTGGTGCCAAACCCGTACCAAAGGTTATAAGGTTAGAGCCTTGTGTGGAATACTGTCTATGTTGAATGTAGGTCAACAGGTAGGTTAATATTTTTTAATTCTGTTTGTTTTTGTCTTTTTCCCGTCTGCAACAGAATATCGAGATTACCAATTTCAGTACGTGCTGGGAGGATGGGTTGGCATTCTGTGCCATCTATCACACCTTCTTACCAACTCATATTCCATATGACAGCCTCAGGCCATCTGACAAGGTAAAACTGCTACTTTGCAAAGAAACAAGGTTCTTTTGTTTGGAAAATTACAACAAATGGTTTGCTCAGATTTATTGCAGGTGTTTCTGGAAGGTACTCCAGATCTGCACCTGCAAATTATTGACCATGCATATAAAACATGCATTATCATTGGCAAAGTTTTATAAATATTTTTATAATGCTAGCAAACTTGACCAAAAATCTGACCTGGATAGAATAACGAAGCACATGGAAGACTCTCAGCTCTTTGATTTTATTTATCCAAATATGAGAGGTGTTTATGCAAATGTCGATATTGAACATTTCTTCTATAATTAAGTCAATAGTTATTCTGAATCCATATAAAACTTGCACTGCTCTTTGGGCAGGAGGGAAACCTGGACATTGCATTTAAGGTGGGAGAGAGTGTGGGAATCCCAGCAACACTGGTGAGCCATTTTTTTTTTCTTCTAACCCACACACTACATGAGCTCTGATAAATGTAAGATTTCTTCTAGTTTAAATGTATTACTGTCTTTTGTTGGTTAGATTCCATTAGTGTCTTTTTATTCATGTTATAGTCTGAAAAAATTACAAATTTTAAAGCCCTGAGCTCCAAAACTTTCTGGCATTCAAGGTGCAGGAAGAGGGAAAGAGGTCTGAAGTGCAAGCTTTATAAACACTTGTTGGTTCCAAACATGTCAAAGTATTCATGAGCTTTTCACCTCACCATCTGTAAAGGACAACCTTCTCGATTTACCATAAATGGAATCATGTATGGGTCTTTAAACAGAGACCAATCATCACATAGGCTGGATATCAAAGAAGTTAGCTAGTCTTGACAAAAATTTATATTATTACGGAGCTGCACATTTTATTTAGATTTTAAGAACCCTGAGTGCTGAAAAATTTAAAAGTTGAGCTTCTTTAGTTTCTTACTCTGTCTTTACTAATTTACTTTGTAACAGACAGTGGAGGAGATGCTGAAAGCAGACGGGCCGGACTGGCAGAAAGTCCTGGCGTATGTCGAAAGCATTTTCCGCCACTTTGAGATGTGAGATCAGGATCCGGGGACTTGAAACCTTCCATTTTCCTTTTGATGAGTTGGGAGCTGAACTACTGTTCAACTGAAGACAGCTCTGTGCAAACAATGAACTCATCCATCAGGATTTCAAATGTGCAAACACTGGACTCTGTATTTTTTTTTGTGTGTGTAAAATACAATATTATTCACCGAGAGACAGGTGCTTGCTGACTCCCAGTGGAAAGAACTTTGATAGCATTTTACTTGGAGCACTTTTTTCCACTTGCACAGCAACTTCACTGGACCTGGGGAATAAGAAGTAGGACACAGAGGAGTGCAGCAGGATAATCACCTGCTCATTGGTTATCTCTGTGTTCAACTCTGATTACTGGGTGGGTGGAGTTCTGCATCCTATGCACTTAAATTACTGTATGGAGCACTTTTTTCACCAAGTTGAATTATGTAGCATTTTAGGAGCAATATGTTGGAGTCAATGTCACTTTATCCTGTTTTATTATGCACCGCATTGTCTTCATTTATTCAGACAGGAAGCAGATGTATAAGATTTTATCCTGGAAAACATTGTCTAATGAAATGTATGAATGTAAATGTTTTTAAAATGTAAGTGTGATTTAAAGACTTGAAGAAATAATAAAGTATCTATACCATAGTTTTTTTTCTCCCACACTTCATAAAATACACATCAGAAAAACTGAATATTTAATTCTACAGTATAATGAAAACATCTGACAGCATATAAAGTAAAAAAAAAGATGGCATTAAAGTAAATGTTTCAGTGGAATAAAGTGGATGTAGTGTTACATGTAACAAATAAATACAATGTGTGAGGAAATATTTCAAGGGTTTGCAAGAAGCATTGAATGAATACTTTTTTTTTAAAAACATTAGTGGTATCAAACATATTACATACAAAAATTGGACCTTAAATACATAATGGCATAAGGAATTGCAAAGCATAAAAATAAAGCACCCCTGAATTAGACCTGGTCAAGACTAAATCCTATGAAGCAGGAATGGCGCCTCCTATAGGGGGTGTTGACAATGGCGGCAGGAGGAGAGACTTCAGTTTTGCAGACATGGCTGCAATTTCAGGGTCCTGGGTTTCATACATTTTCACCAGTCGAGCAAATTTAAGGACGCCTGTAAAAGATGCAAAAAACTATTAACAAATTCAAATGTATAGTTCCCACTGTGAGGTTATTTAAAAACTATTTTACATAGATGCTTCCTCTTGAATGTCAACTTTTTTTTTCTTTTTACTTTAGAACAATTACTTGTTTTAAACTTAACTTTGAAAAAACATGTCCAGAAAATTAAATATTTCCCATCTAGATATTTAACAAACCTTGGTTTAAAAAAATAGTGCATGTTTGCAGTTTATATCTGTAAATATTTTTTTTAATCTGGATAAAAAAAAAAAAGATAAAACTTTTCATTTCTAAGTTGTGTTTTTTAAAGTTCCAAATAAACTGAGTATTTTATGTAATAACTACCTTCTCCTTCATTGTTGAATCCATACGCTTTGATCACTTCCTGCTGAATCTGAGTGGCCACAGGAAGCACGAGCTGCAGCATCTTTCCCATGTCGTTACAGGCGCTCTCCCGAGCCTCCTCCATTCGTGCAGCGTTCTCTGGCACTGAAAAGGCCTGGATCACCTCACTCAACACCACTGCAGAACCAAAGTATCCGTCATTTAAAGTTACAAATGAATGCCTTCACAGAGAGAAAACAAACTGTAATAGTGTAACTTTATTCAGTTCACCCTAAACCACAGTGATTTAGATAAATGTGTATTTCTGTCTTAAAATATATTTAGATGTGGCTCAAATTTTAGACTAAGATGCATAATATGCATTTTTCTATATTATAGAAAAATAATGTATGTTAGGATAATTGCGAACTCTAAAATTGCTGTTTGATACATGTGCATGGATGGCTGTTTCTCTTCTGCATTTCTCTATCTTATCTCAGTTAAGTTTCTGAGCCACCTTGATAGGTAAAAAAGCTACCATGAGATGTAAGATAAATATCATTTGTAAAATGACAAAGGATGACATTAGTAAGCCAGTATACACAGTGTGTTCAACTTTGAGTGTGGGTCTACCGACTGGAATCCTGCCACAAGGATTAAGCAGGTATGCAAAATCAACAAATGGGTGGCATTAAGATGACTACCATTGATGTAAAACAAACTATAAGCAAATGGTAGCTTCAAAGGTTTCGACTGGATGTGTCATAGTTAATCAGTTAAAAACATCCCATCTGTCAGGGTAAAGCAAAGGTTTCTTAATCGCCATGTGTTCGGTCAGCAGCCTCTGAAATATCCACCAATTATTTGTTTTATAAATTCCTTCTTACAGGATTAGATGCAGAGGTGTAGCCAGGAAATTTTTATAAGGGTGGCCAGGCAATAATCAATGTACACTGAGGGGTGGCCGAAAGGGGATAGGCGCCAGAACCTCAGGGTCAAGCCAAAGACAAGACAAACTATCCTTTCCTACAGCTTTTGCTAAAAAAAATAGATGCATATATTTAAACATCCATTCTTTCTAAATAAAAGGTATAATAGATAAAATTCAGATTCGAGCTCTGGGACAAACATTTTCCATTGTCATTACTTACCTCCATGTATCAATAATTCTTCTGCACAAAATTGATATAAATTGATTAATACCTTTTTTTTAAAATCAAAATAGTTATTTATGATTTCACTGAAGATTCCCACATGACTTGCAGAGACATTCTCTCTTTACCATATATAACACAAAATCTACTTCTGAAAAGAGCGTGAATTCTGTACATATCTTTAATGCTAGTAAAATGATGTGTATAATTAAACAGTGTTCATTGTCAAGTGATTATGAATATATGAAAAATTTAAATGTTTTGAACATTCCACTTGAGTGTATTATTGCTGCAACAATCTATATTAGAGGGGGGAAAAAAGGTAGGGGTGGTCAATGTTTGGCTAAGGGTGGCCACCCCTGGCCCCCATCTAGCTCCCTGATTAGATGGGATTGCATAAAGCAATCACTGAGCAAATGTGGTCTATTACAGGTCTGTAAGAGGAACACTAGATGATCTTGACAGAACCTAATCAACATTCATACTCCACGTTTGAATGTTGTTTTTGTTTTTTATTAAAAAAATAATAATAGGAACCATGTTCCTCTTACCTCGGGTCTGTTCAGCGGTCAGGGTAGGTTGCTGAGCTGGAGCAGAGGCCATGATGTCTGGAACACAAATGACACAATAACTACCAAATAATTTAACAGCTAAGTATTTTATATCTACATTAAATTGGCCACATAAGTCAAGCTAGTTTATTTTTTATCTTTAACATTCATAAAAGTAGCGGTTTGTAACTAATATGTAGAAAAATGACACTAATGTACAAATAATGACAAAACATACGTTCAAATATAAAGGAAACCCTGAGTTATGTTTTTTTTAATCCGCACTAACTTATAACATTAGCACATCTGGTATTTCCCTAATGAAAGGAAACCGGAAGCAGTGACGAAATATCAACAGAAAGGTAAAATAACCTAAATACATTAAACGTTATGAGTTAATGTTCTCACCACTGATGAAGACACCAAACCTGAAAGCTAGCAACAAACAACCCCAAGGAAATATCGAAAAATCCCGTAAACCGACGCTTTACGACAGTTGGCGACAATACCTCCTTTTTTATGATAGAACACGTAGTACGTAAACATGCCTCGATAAAGATTCTAACCGGTTGAAATTTCTCCAAAAAGTAACCTAAATTGACGTGCGAGGCAGTCGGGTGTATATTTGATATATCTGTATATTATTATTCATCTGTTTATTTTGTTAAAGTGACAAGAAAAGGAGAGTTTGTTCTTTTTTTGTGGTTTAAAGGGTGCTTTTCCAGGTTGAACTTGGATTATTCGCATTTATGGAGCAAAAGCTGGCGGAGTTTAGAGCCCGACGACAGGCGGTGAAAGGCACGCAAATGTCCGACCCTTCTGCTGCTCAGCCCAGAGAAAAGAGAGAAGGAGATCCTGTTGTACAGGCAGACAACAGTCAGCAAGCAGAGGGGCCAGAAAACAACCAAACTGCAACTAACAGCTCTCCAGGCAGGGTAAGAGATCAATATCAGCACGATTTAAATAGATTTTAACGAAAACTCTTCAAAATGTGGCTATTAAACTGGTAAAACTATTCAAAACTAATAGATGATTCACATTTTAATGGAAAGATTAGATGTGATCGAGGTAAATATACAAATATGGTCATTTTAATTTTGTTTTCTGAAAGAAAATCTGTCAAAATTATAAATCACTGAAGATGCATTCAAAAGCTACTTATTAAAATTCCTGAATGCAATAGATAAATACATATTGTTTTAAAACTTCTATGATTTTTCCTGTTATCGTGTCAGTGCTGAACTTTTATCAATGCAGTGGTTTGCAAAAGTATTCATGTGACTACAGATTACAAGGGAAATCTATTGGGATTTTATGTTAAACAAAAAAAAGTGAGTGTGAGAAATTTCGACATGGTTTTTAAAAACTTTAACGTAAAAATATGTCAAAGGTGTGTAATTGTTGTTTGTTTCTTTTTTTTCTTTTCTTTTTTTTTTTTTGATAAACAGCCCAAGCTCAGTCTGATAAGTTGGGGACGCCTGATAAATAACACAGATTTGTGATTCATTCATTTCATTTTTATTGAATTTTTTTATTTATACAGGTTTAAAAAAGTAAGGAAAATTTTGTGTTTCCAATGTTTGCCAACAACTTTTTGGTTTTATTATTTTATTATTCTTAAGAAAAACTTACAAAGTTATAAAGGCAAACTACTGGTTGTAGTTAATGGATAAAGCATTAGAATATTGCCTGCCTTTGGTATTTGAATTCAAATTTTAATCAAGCTTTTAGCTTGATTGTTAACCTCATTGAAATTCTGAGTATAATCAAGATTTATTTTAAAAAATGTGCATCATGATATCTTACTGCGGATCGGAGACAGATTTAACCACATTAATCATAGGGAAGTTTTACTAAATACTTTAAAGATTTGTGTTCAAGAAGCACCAGTTTTCAATCAGTCACTTGTGTGTCTTTTTTCTTGTTGTTTCTAAAGTTGTGCAATAATTTAGAATATGTAAAAACATTTCTCGGTTGAGCAAAACATCTACATAAAGAAAAATCTTCATCAGCTTCAATTGGCCAAGCCCCCTATCATTTTTTTTATAACCTTGTTAACCACTGACTTGTTGTTATGTGTCCTTACAGAGTTGTAGTGACTGGATGCTTGACAGTACTCTGGGAAGATGGTTATCGTCAAGACAATTGGTCCTCTCCAACATTATGCTGCTCAAAGTGCTGCTCTGGCTGGTTCTTCTGGGTCTTTTTGTTGAACTGGAATTTGGCCTGCCATTCTTCGTTATCTCCCTGTTCTACTGGCTTTATGAAGGACTGCGCAGCCCAGAACCCAGGAAACCAGGAGAACTAAGTGCTTATTCTGTCTTCAACCCAGACTGTCAGCCTCTGCTTGGCTCACTCACTGCAGAGCAGCTAGAGGGGGAAATGGGTTACAGACCACTGGCCAACAGATAAAATGATTGGCATTTACAACATTTAATAGGCAAAATCAATTTTTTTTTTGTTTAAAAAATGATTTATTGTGTTATGTTAATATTATTATTATTATGTATATGTTGCACATCAAATTAAAGCTGGTAAATGTATTACTTTGTTCCTTTTTATGCTGCAACATTTTTTGCAGAAAGACTGTTTGGAGTAAGCTTGAAATTATATTTTCATAGTAATCTCAGATTTGATTAGGGCTGCAACCAATATTCCTTCTAAGCTGGGGGCTTGCGCAATCTTGGCGCACAAGAAAATCCATGCAGTGCATAAGATAAAATCAAACATAAGCTGTAAATTAATTAAACCAATAAATTTTTTTCTGTATCATTTTGAATATGTGTATAGTTCCTTTTTCAACTTAAAACCAACAATGAAAATATGAGAAACAACTGACTTCTCCCATCCCCCAAATTTCATTACATAATATAGAGAAAACAGTTATTTTTGGCCATAGGCCTGCTGAACTACATGTCTTACAGCATCTTGTCTTTATGACTAGTATCACAAATTACCTCAGCCTCCTGCATGCTAGATGTGCCAGACAGCTTTACTGAAAATCAGCTGTTTTGATGAAACGTCTTCTATTCAGTCCCACTTTCAAATATATCAAAATCAGTGTTGTAATAAAAATTAATACATTTAAGAGTTGTATTTTGATGAATAGGTTCAGCAAATGTCTTTATTCAGTGCATCAAAGAGTTTTACAGTTGCATAAAAAAATATCCAACATGAAGTAAAGTATGTGACGGCCCAAATTTATTTATCGGTCAAGGCTCCCAGAACAATGAAACTCTCACTGGTTTGTAACAGCCCTGCTTTCCAACATGCACACGGTTAAAGACACACCTGTTTTTTTTTTTTCTGATAATTTCAAGTATATGATGAAGGAAAAATGTAACAGGCATCAATCAGCACATTGTCAGATATGGTGGCTGCAAAACTTAGAGGAGGAGCCAAAGGAGATCTCACCGCTTTTTGATATTTCTGTTACATTTCAAGCATCCATTGCTGATCGTGAAATGTTAGGTTTAATGAATCATTTCAAAACAGCATCCACAAGCATCTTAAAGTGGCATTGGAGAAGTAAAACGGACAGAAATTGAAGTCAAATTTGGTCATATTCTAGCAACTTTTATTAATTTTTTATTTATTTATGGATATTAATCATGAAAGGCTCATACTATAATATAATTTATGATAGAAGAAATGCTAAAAAAAACTTTGTAGCTAAAAAATTACAGATTTACAGGATTTTATACTATATCACACGCTACAGCACACATTTTATTGCACAAACTGAAGGTTTTAATGTGAGGAAAATTTTCACAATGCTATAAGCAAGAGCAGGACTCTTGCTTATAGCATACTAAAAATCTCATGACCAACAAGTTTTGGGGGTTTTCTTTTTTCATTTTAAGTGGGCAAAATCACTTAAATCTAAAGTAAACTAATGGAAGCTGCTGCTGTAGTATTTCATTCTATAAAAAAATACAATGTAACTCGCTGATCCCAGGTAATGGTGTAAGGCCTGAGGGTGCACATCTGATGTCAGTCATTCATTGGAGTCCTCTGTATTCGGGGACCTTGTATGGATGATCAGGCACATGAGAAATTAGAAGGAACATTTGCTTCAATTAATGGTTATTTGGTTAATCGATCGATTATTTTTTCTGATTAATAATCGAATAGAAAAGGTTCCTTAAAGAAGATTGAAAGAATAAATGAATGAATAGGAATTTATTCCAGACAATTTGACAAACAACAATAAATGAACCAACCAAAAGACACAAAAGACTAGTTAACATAAAGCAAACCAAACACATATTTCAAAACAAACAAAATTTACCTGAACATAATTCTGGATTTAACTGCACTCAACTGAACTCAAAGATGAACCAACATTTTTTTTCCACTGATTTATTTGAAATTGAATTTTTTTTATACACATTTAACTTTCTGCTGTGGTTTAATCTTAACTGTGATACTTGGTAGAGATTTTGATAAATAAGATGTGTTGATAAAAAAAATTTTATGCCTCTGAACCTTGGTGTAGGGTGAGGATTTTAAATTGTATCTGTCTTGATTAAAAACTGCTCAATAAAAAAAAATCAAAGATGAAGTTCTGTGCTTTCAGCAATCTTTGTATAGATTTGAGGGTTGTTTTATTTTAATATAGATTCTTTAAATTAACTTTGCTATTTAAAAAATAAAACTTCCAAGCACACATTACTGGAACTTTATTTTATGATTGATGATGCAAAACAAAAAGTTATCAGATTGAAAAATAATTTGGGAAAAAATCATTTAGAAATTAAACCTGTAACTATTTGTATATATGTGGACTGAACAACGTTTTAGTAAAACTTAGTGAAGTTTAATCAAAATCCTGTTGCTGTATAGGCCCCTCATTGCCCATGAATCTTAAAAAGGCTTGAATTGATAGTTCACTTGCTGAAAATCAAAACCGGAATTATAATCATCCTTTAAATCTCTGCTTAGGTCCTATTTCATGCATGCTGGAAGTGGTTGCAAGTAGATCAATGACTAATAGCGATTAAAAATAACTTATCCAATAAAACTAATTGGATTCTGGATATAGATGAAGTAAAGCATCAGACGGATTTAACTTCTGTATGATTTTTAACTATGATGAGGGAAACCTCAATACTCTTTATTGCCACTTGATGGCGGTAAAGGATCATCACGTTGTTTGCTGTTCAACGTCACGACAAGAGGAGGAAAAAGAAGAAGATAGTTTATTCAACATACTTCCGCGTTTCATGTTTACTTTTCACCTGCAAAACGAATCACTGTAAGTCTTGAAAGATAGATAGCTGCAATATTTAACGTGCATTTCCAGTTTTCGTAATGTTTATTAAGGGTTTGTCCCGCAGTATATCTTGGTTGCATTAAAGCAGCTGGATTGTTGCTTGCTAAGTAGTTTTGTAGTTATCAGTCCTTCTCCAACCAAAGGTCTGCGACACCTTCAGACGACTACTCATCCTGTAAGTATTATAACAGCTGAAATACACTCGAAAATAATAATTTAGCTCTTTCTAAACATTTTGAATTTGATATTTCGTCGTCAATGGCATACAAGCTAGTTATTGTTAGATTCAATGGTTAAACAGTGACCTAATAGATGTAGAATCAGAATCAGACATACTTTTATAATACCAGAGGGATATAACTTTTGTTACACGCTCCAGATATACACACATTTATATATATATATATATATATATATATATATATATATATATATATATATATATATATATATA